GTTACACTGATGCAATCATATACTTCATGTCAACATTAGTAGAGGGACGATACACTGATGCAATCATATACTTTATGTCAACATTAGTAGAGGGACGATACACTGATGCAATCATATACATTATGTCAACATTAGTAGAGGGACGATACACTGATGCAATCATATACTTCATGTCAACATTAGTAGTGGGACGATACACTGATGCAATCATATACATTATGTCAACATTAGTAGAGGGACGATACACTGATGCAGTCATATACTTCATGTCAACATTAGTAGAGGGACGATACACTGATGCAATCATATACATTATGTCAACATTAGTAGAGGGACGATACACTGATGCAATCATATACATTATGTCAACATTAGTAGAGGGACGATACACTGATGCAATCATATACATTATGTCAACATTAGTAGAGGGACGATACACTGATGCAATCATATACTTCATGTCAACATTAGTAGAGGGACGTTACACTGATGCAATCATATACTTCATGTCAACATTAGTAGAGGGACGATACACTGATGCAATCATATACTTCATGTCAACATTAGTAGAGGGACGATACACTGATGCAATCATATACATTATGTCAACATTAGTAGTGGGACGATACACTGATGCAATCATATACTTCATGTCAACATTAGTAGTGGGACGATACACTGATGCAATCATATACATTATGTAAACATTAGTAGAGGGACGATACACTGATGCAATCATATACTTCATGTCAACATTAGTAGAGGGACGATACACTGATGCAATCATATACATTATGTCAACATTAGTAGAGGTACGATACACTGATGCAATCATATACTTCATGTCAACATTAGTAGAGGGACGATACACTGATGCAATCATATACATTATGTCAACATTAGTAGAGGGACGATACACTGATGCAATCATATACATTATGTCAACATTAGTAGAGGGACGATATACTGATGCAATCATATACATTATGTCAACATAAGTAGAGGGACGATACACTGATGCAATCATATACATTATGTCAACATTAGTAGAGGGACGATACATTGATGCAATCATATACTTCATGTCAACATTAGTAGTGGGACGATACACTGATGCAATCATATACTTCATGTCAACATTAGTAGTGGGACGATACACTGATGCAATCATATACATTATGTCAACATTAGTAGAGGGACGATACACTGATGCAATCATATACATTATGTCAACATTAGTAGAGGGACGATACACTGATGCAATCATATACATTATGTCAACATTAGTAGTGGGACGATACACTGATGCAATCATATACTTTATGTCAACATTAGTAGAGGGACGATACACTGATGCAATCATATACATTATGTCAACATTAGTAGTGGGACGATACACTGATGCAATCATATACATTATGTCAACATTAGTTGTGGGATCACATTACTAACATTTAATACATTATATTATTACTACTTTAATTGTGGAAGTTTTTTAAAGTTCCTAAAGCATTCCGGCAGATTTTGAGATATCAAACGACATAGTTGTCATTATGATGGTTACAGCATCTTTAGTTGTGTGATAATTTGACAATGAAATTAGAGTGATTTTATTTCATGTTTTGGACACATTTTGGCTCATAACCCGATTTAAACACTTTGCTAATTGTTTATTTAATTATGTTGTAGGTTTCCTAAGTCAGCTAACTGATGTTTTGATAAAATGACTATTCCAATATGCAAACCGACTTGTTTAGAGCCATTTATTTGATTAACTTAATTTTCACACATTAATGTGCATTTTACCACCACAACACATGTCTGACATCAAAATAAATCACCACAACCATCATTTTCTAATGCATAAATGACATCTTGTAAAGAAAAATATGGTTGTGCTTTGTTCTGGTGTGGTTAGGGGTTAATCCTAAATTAAGCTTCCTTAAAAATTAAGGGTTGGCCGCTACTTTAAAACCACCTTGTTCAGCCCTGGTTATCAGGCTTCGTTGTGTCAATGATGGCGTGTCACTGCACACCTATGGCGGGGATCGATACCCACTGGACAGACTTGCCCAGAATTTATAACAGGCCATACAGCTGGAATACTGAGGAGATAAATGAAAATAATGATCGACCACAACCTGAATAAACGAACTTCTTCCCGCTCGCTGTCCATCTGTAAAAGTAAGCAGTGATCTTGAACTTTCGGGAGTGACAGCGACAATTACAACTGGCCATGATAAAATTGGCATAAAGTCGACTGGGCTAATCTTGGATATGGTTTATTCGCAATAAAACATGCTCAAGTAGAAGACAGTAAAACTGGACATCATAAACTTGTTTATTCAGGTTACAGGCGAATTTACTTAGGCTACAGGCGAGGGGCGTAATGTGTTACAGATCTGACTAAACGACCCCATGGCGTATGTTTGATTCAGCAGTTGTTCTCTGTAGTTATAAGATTGTGTTATAGTGACGCTCAGAAATATATTTGGAACATTTCAGAAATGGACAAAACACGGTAAGAGACTTCTGCCATTTCATGACTGGCATATCATAGTCTAATGGTTTCAGTTGACTGTACCATAAACGTTTCTTTTTGCATACATCCCCGGAATTAGAATAGTCCCAAGTAAGCCCTTTACTGGTCGTGAGAGGCGTCAAAACTGGACCCTACTGTCAGGCAATAACATGGCTGATGGCGTGTCATTTTGCCTCTGTTGTCTGCAATAACATGGCTGATGGCGTGTCATCTTGCCGCCTGCTGTCAGACAAAAACATGGCTGATGGCGTGTCATCTTGTCCCTTGCTGTCAGACAATAACATGGCTGATGGCGTGTCATCTTGCCACCTGCTGTCAGACAATAACATGGCTGATGGCGTGTCATTTTGCCTGTGCTGTCAGGCAATAACCTGGCTGATGGCGTGTCATCTTGCCGCCTGCTGTCAGACATTGACATGGCTGATGGCGTGTCATTTTGCCGCCTGCTGTCAGACAATAACTTGGCTGATTGCGTGACATCTTGACCCCTGCTGTCAGACAATAACTTGGCTGATTGCGTGTCACTTTGCCTGTGCTGTCTGGCAATAACATGGCCGATGGCGTGTCATCTTGTCCCTTGCTGTCAGACAAAAACATGGCTGATGGCGTGTTATCTTGCCGCCTGCATTCAGGCAATAACATGGCCGATGGCGTGTCATCTTGCCGCCTGCTGTCAGACAATAACATGGCTGATGGCGTGTCATCTTGTCCCCTGCTGTCAGACAATAACATGGCTGATGGCGTGTCATCTTGCCACCTGCTGTCAGACAATAACATGGCCGATGGCGTGTCATCTTGCCGCCTGCTGTCAGACAATAACATGGCTGATGGCGTGTCATCTTGCCGCCTGCTGTCGGACAATAACATGGCTGATGGCGTGTCATTTTGCCGCCTGCTGTCAGACAATAACTTGGCTGATTGCGTGACATCTTGACCCCTGCTGTCAGACAATAACTTGGCTGATGGCGTGTCATCTTGCCGCCTGCTGTCAGGCAATAACTTGGCTGGTGGCATGTCATCTTGCCGCCTGCTGTCAGACAATAACTTGGCTGATGGCGTGTCATCTTGCCGCCTGCTGTCAGGCAATAACTTGGCTGATGGCGTGTCATCTTGACCCCTGCTGTCAGGCAATAACTTGGCTGATGGCGTGTCATCTTGCCGCCTGCTGTCAGGCAATAACTTGGCTGGTGGCATGTCATCTTGCCGCCTGCTGTCAGGCAATAACTTTGCTGATGGCGTGTCATCTTACCGCCTGCTGTCAGGCAATAACTTGGCTGATGGCGTGTCATCTTGTCCCCTGCTGTCAGACAATAACTTGGCTGATGGCGTGTCATTTTGCCTGTGCTGTCAGACAATAACATGGCTGATGGCGTGTCATCTTGTCCCCTGCTGTCAGACAATAACATGGCTGATGGCGTGTCATTTTGCCTGTGCTGTCAGACAATAGCATAACTGAGTGCGTGTCATCTTGCCGCCTGCTGTCAGACAATAACATGGCTGATGGCGTGTCCAAACTGCAGACGTTGCTCATATTACCAATCACTTGTTTGATTGCTCACATGCCGCCGCCTAATTTTTTCTTGTTTAATGCCCAAGAATATGTCAAAGCCGCACCGAGCCTGACGACCCGATCCATAAGTCGCCTCTGTCGATCAACCTAGATTGCGGGGTATCTATTCTAATATGCTTACCCGGAATCCCCACAACGTCTTTTGGTGTGAATAGTGGTTGTGAGATATAATTTAATGATTCAATGGGGTATCAAAAGAGGTTCTTTTCTGTGTCGTCTTTGTTTGTTTGTTTGTTGTTTAACGTCACACTCAGAAATAATCAAGCCATATGAAGGTGTTCTGTAAAAATCGAATCTGGACTAGACAATCCAGTGATTGATATCCTAAGCATCGATTTACGCATTTGGGATACGATAACATGCAGTCCACAGTTATGGAACTCTTTGCCTTTGAATCTGAGAAACTCTGCTTCTAAGGAAACGTTTAAGTCTCTCCTCAAAACCCACTTCTTCACTTCAGCTTTTCAATAGATTGTTGGCATATGTACATATACATTACATTTTAACTTTGTCACAGCGCCAGTGAGCAACTGTCGATGGATATTAGGCGCTTTACAAATCAATTATTATTATTATTATTATTATAAACCGGGTTACCCAGCCGTACTCGTTAGTCGCCTCTTACGACAAGAATGGGCTGCTGAAGATCAATTCTAAACAGCATCTTCATGGACATGCTCCGTCATTGATTAAAATGTACTAAATAAATATACAGATTGAAAGATGTTTTAACGTTGTAAGAATACAAAGTCTTTTATTTTTCATTTCAGATTGAATCGGCTTTTGACAAAATCCAGTCTTTTCAAAGTGTTTTGTCTCATGGCCGCTGTCTACATCGTTTTAAGATTAACCAAAATCCTTGTTTCAAAACGAAAGCTCTTTGATTCAATGGACTATACGCTTAAGAATGAAAGAGACTCGTTCCACTTGAACAGACTGTTGCACCTCAAGAAAGACTCGCTTCCTTTGTCTGACCCAGCATCCTTCAGTTCCTTCTACATCGACACGCCTGCTTCAAAAGCAAAAAACACATTGAACGACAAAACTCGAAGCACTGGTGAATACGTTCCTATCAAAACCTTTCAACATGTTTACCGACGTATGCCGGACATAGATGTTCAGAGTGGTGAAAACAAAAGTCTCGAAGTGCTCCTGAGAAGAGGGGACATTGAACCAGCGACTGACCTTGTGACTAGAGACACGAAGGTCATACTGTGGTATTCCCCAACAAGGTATCATCCAAGATTGTCGAGATTACACCCCTTGCGGGGATGCCCAGAATCCAGATGTCGGGTTACAACAAACAGAGACTTCTACAACCAGAGTGATGCTCTTGTGTTTACTGCACGGCTCCTAGATCAGATGCCACCAGTGAAGCTTACGAATCAAGTGTGGATATTACATAATCATGAGTCTCCACGGTGGGTGAATAAAAACACGTATTTGTACAACGAAGCCTGGAGCTCCAAATTTAACTGGACGATGGGCTATAGGAATGACGCCGATTTCAAAGTCCCGTACGGAATCTTCCAAAGGAAGAATGGAACATTTCTTAGAGAAGAACATCCACCAATAAGAAACTATTCACAAATCTGGGCTTCGAAGAATGGAACAGTTGTATGGATGGTAAGCAACTGCCGAACTATGAGTAAAAGAAAGGAATATGTTCGGGAATTGAGTCGCTATGTCCAAGTTGATATATTCGGCAAGTGTGGCGACCACAGATGTCCAAGATCTGATGACGAATCGTGTCTGGAACATCTTTCGAAAAATTACAAATTCTACTTAGCCTTTGAAAATGCGTTTTGTAAAGACTACATAACTGAAAAGTTTTTCCGTTACTTCAACTCTGATATGGTCGTAGTGGCCAGGGGTGGGGGCGACTACAGTGCCGTTGCTCCCCCAGGAACCTTCATCAATGCAGCTGACTTCGTATCACCTCAGCGTCTTGCCCAGTTGTTGAACGAGCTGGCTCACAATGAAAAAGACTATGTCAATATTCTACGCAAGAAGAACCAGTATCATGCCGTTTGGGAGGAGTGGCCCATAGTTAAAAATGGGATCATAAGATATATGACCTATCATTACGATATGGTGCCCATGTGTGACATTTGTAACCGGTTGTGGGATGTTGAAAGTAACGGAACACTCTACATGGACATTGGGGAGTGGTTTGATAAAGGGATGTGTTTTGAACCTTTCGATCTAACTTCAGATAGGTTGTGAATACTGAGGAGAAAAAGTTTTAGAAAAACTGTTTTCAGTGTTGGGCTGTCACGTGCAGATTTGAGGGCGCTTAACTGAATATGGAACTGAACGTTGAGCATTAGAAGTTTCAAATGTTAAATTTACCAATATTGTTTTTCAGACTTACATGAAGATTCGATATATTGAATATGAGTGATTTAGTGAGTAGTCTTTTACGTCGCTTTTAGCAATATTCCAGCAATATCACGGCGGAGTACACCAGAAATATGTTGGGAATCGAACCCGGGTCTTCGGCGTGACGAGCGAACGCTTTAACCACTAGGCTCTCTCCCGCCCAGTACCATATTTAACGTCTTTTGGTATGACATGACCGGGGATCGAACCACCGACCTTCCGCTCTCCGGGCGGACGCTCTACCACTAGACCACGGAGGCGGTCATGTTGAACAATAAAATACACTGCCATGAAACAGCTTTTTGCGCAAACGGTTGATAGCGTATCTTCCGTCGACAGAGTGGATTGTTGTTCACAATATCAATCACAGGTTTGTCTGGTACGGACACTGATAGTTCAATACTGTCCATAGCTGGAATATTGCTGAGTCTGGTTTTTGAATAAAGCGCCAAAACCATTTTCATAATCATAAGAAATCTCTGCCAGATACAGAGGCTACTGTACGACTTTATCATAAGCATCAAACAGTGATGATACTTCGCAGAAGGTGCGAGTACCCTGCCCCTACGGGAGCACCTATCACAAACACATGCAAAGTCAAGTCACCTGCTAAAATCAAGGGAACCTATGACTCCAGTCACAATAGGGAATTGTATCCCACATAATTTTTGTCGCTGATCATGACGCCACGCATTTGGAAATGGATTATTCTATGTCAAAATCCTCTGATGCGCACGTAAAATCACTTTGTTTCTCTACGTGTACCCGCGAACGTTGTTCACAATATGTCAATACGCCCGATAGTTGTGATAGTTGATAATCCTCAGTTAAAATGCTGAAAATGTTGAATATCACATTGACAACAGCTGTCGCTGTCTTTGTCGAAATCTTAAACAGTTAATGCAGTTTTAGGTGGGCTGCACTGTGGTGGCATTATTAACATATTTAATTCATTGAACACCTGCTAGACATGCATGACAACTAATGGCACGATCCGTGAAGATCCGAGGTAGAATAGGTCTTCAGCAACCCATGCTTGCCGTAAATGGCGACTATGCCTGTCGTAGGAGGCGACATACGGGATCGGTTGGTCAGGGTCGCTGACTTAGCTGATGCATGTCATCTTATCCCAATTGCGAGGATCGATGCTTATGATGCCAATCACTGGATTGTCTGGTCACGACTCGATTATTTACAGACCACCGTCATGTAGGTGAATTATTGCAGAGTGCGGCGTAAATGGGCCGGCCTTTACACAGGATGGCGACCTTTGTACCTCCCGTGTGCGACCATAGAATTTACCAGGTCGTCGTTGGAGGCTCAAAGGAGGCAGAATGGTTGCCTAGGTCGTTCCAAGGTGGTACACAGGAGGTTCGGACATCGCCATGGACGCCATGGTCACCGTCGCACAAAGGTCGCCGAGGAGGTTGGTTGCTCAAAGGTGTCTCAAAGGAGGCAGAAGGGAGGCACAAGCATTGCCGTTGTTGCAGAATGAAGGCACAGTGGTCGTCAGATGGTCACCAGGTAATAGATGCGTTCTGCTGAACAACTGCTGGAGCAGTTACATAGAAACATGATTTTCTGGGTTTAGGCGACCATTGAGCGTCCTGGCCAGTTTTCGATCGCTCGAAGGTGGCACTAAGGTCGCAGCCCTGTGTAATGGGGGCTTAAAAAACAAACAAACCAACAAAACACATCATAAACGTACCTTAAGGATAGCTAAAATCAGAACTGTAAACACATCCGGTCCATAGCTATTGACACTACTGATGGGCCTATTTATCATATAATGGGCGGATTTCTCGGCAGGATGAAGCCTACGGATCAAAACGATATCCGTTGGGGTCATATGCGGCTAGAGATGCAAATACCAAAGGTCAAGCAGGTACTACTTTCAGTGTTTATAAACAAACATGGCGCCGCCCTTGTCATTCGGCAAACGAGTTAGAATTAACCATCGGGAATCTGGATAAACTACAGATATAATTGCAATCATTTTCAAAAGAACAGTTTAATATACTTAAAATCAGTGTCTAACTGTGACGTAGCTAAGGCATTTTATAAGTTTTGGCAACTTTGAAGATATAAATTTCGAAACGATTTTGCGAGGGCACAAGGCCTAGCCAAGCGGGATCAGTAGGCTTCACATATTGTACCCATGTCGGGAATCGAACCCGGGTCTTCGGCGTGACGAGCGAACGCTTTAACCACTAGGCTAACCAACCGCCCCCTTAATTAGGAAGTAAGATGTTTATATTATTTGGATAATACACAATGATAGGCACTGTGTCCAAAACGTCTTTAAATTCTACATGCCTAGATATGCGGATGTGTTTAGGCTGTGATACGTTGCTCATTTCATGTATTTTGATCCTGAACGTGTTAAGTGAGTGAGTATGGCTTCACGCCGCTTTTAGCAATATTCCAGCAATATCACGGCGGGGGTCACCAGAAATGGGCTTCACACATTGTACCCATGTCGGGAATCGAACCAGGGTCTTCGGCGTGACGAGCTAACGCTTTAACCACTAGGCTACCCGACTGTCCCCTGAACGTGTTTAGATAGAAACACACCAACCGTGCAATCTGCTTATGATTTAAACTCATTCCTAAACATGATTAGATCCGAGAAAAATTCCGATAACATCATATAGTATTTAGAGTAAAATGATTTATTATCGCCATTTATACTTATAGGTTTATTGTGGTGTCTTATGACGGTAGGAATGCAGTGTGGGTGATTATTGAGACATGAAGACTCTCAGAGGTTCTTAGTTTTGGGATTTAAACCCTGAAGAAAAGAAGATCATTTCTCACTAATATCTCCGTTGTATGATAAACAGTTCATTGATACATATTATATCCGTTACCCTAGTATACAAACATGTGTTTGGTTAATGACAAGTGACAAAGTAGTAATAATAAAAAGACTGTCAATGTACATATTGCATGCCATGAATCTAAGAAGTTCCAAATATGTTACTTCATAATCAAAGTACATAGCGATCTTCGCACTAACATTGTCGGAAGTCGATGTTAAGGTGTGAAGGTCACGATCACCATAGTGCTAAGGTCGCTTTGAGGAACGACACCTAGGTCATTCGTAAATAACACTAAAGATCAGCAATGTCGTCATCCTCATCACTTGAATCATAAAGAAGAAATTCCTCCGAATAGGTATCCGTTTCAGGTTGACAGTATATTTCCTGGATCTCCTCGTGAGGTCCTTGTATGGTCAACTCCGAGAAGGAGGTATCAAGACTCTTATGACCTCTTATTGTCACGCCTGGTCCTCTCACAAACTGATAGCGGTCCGCTTCGCCCCAAGGCCTGTCATAGAATCCAATTTCTGGTGAGGGGTACCCCATGACCAAGCAACGGACAACAAGTTTTTCTGGCGTATTTGTCCTCACGTCTGAAGACTTTTTCACCACAGAAAATTGACCCCGGACTTCCACAAGCAGTTCTTTCTCAATGACCACGCCAGACACACTTGCCCCTTGTATGACATATCTCCCTGTGTCTGATAAGGACGCATTGACCAAACGAAATACCATCCTTACAGTGTACAGTGATGTAACATCCATCGCCGTTACAAGACTGGTTGCTGTCTTTAGTCCACCCACTATTCTCCATATAGTTATATTTTTAGGGTCGTCACCGAGCAATAGAACGGATCCAGTACAACTTCCATGTTCTGCACATCCCAAAAAATCCGATTGGATAGAACTTGAAAAACGGTCAAAGTAAAATCCCAAATATCCTTTCGGAAAGGGCGCAGTATGGTCAGCCCTTCTGACAGGAATGTGTAGTTCCTTGCCAAGGGATAGATCGAATTTAGTGATCCTTATTGGCTGGAGATTAAGCCGGAGAAGTAAGATTCCTTCACGATCATTCTTATCAGCATTGATAGTTACTTTAATGTCCGTGTGATTGGAATCATCCTTCGTGGGTCTCGCACCCACAATCACTGGGTTAGGTCGACTTCTTTGGTTATAAGCGTTAATTGTGTTGGGCGCAGTTGTGTTAACAGCGTAAAAAATATAATCTGAATCAGGTTGAGAGCCTTCGCCACCAGATACGTAACATATTGTAATGTTGGTGGAAGAACCTTTTTCGAATACAGCTTCCACACTCGGCAGAGTATTAAGACTTAACGTAGGGACATCAACTTGTCCGGATTCATTTACGGAATTCACTGTCATGTACATTTTAGTAAGCACTTGTTCTCTGTTTGGTAAAAATAATGTTAACATCAGATATTGATTAGAATGAACAGTGATGTTGCCATGTCCATCATCAAACCTGTTTTCAACGTTAATTATTCTGTCATCAAACGAAGCACGTACTCTTACAACTGCTTTAACTGGTGCTGAATATTGGAAGAAGAAAGACTGTTGCTCCTGATCTGGTTCCACTTTAGCAAATGTTACCTGTAGGTCTGCATCTTGAAGCCTGAATGAGTCTGACCTCCCTCCTCCGTCACCTCCAGAAAGTTGAGTATTCGTATTGTGCAGAACGCTATCTGTTTGGTCATACTTTTTGGTTGCTTCCAATGGTCCTGATTTCACTTCATCATCATCATGATCATCATCATGATCATCATCATCATCACCATCTTCTTCTTCAGAGAGCTGCGCACACAGATTTTGCAGGGCACGGTCTATCTTCTCATACCTCTTCATGTTCTTCATCACTGTGTCGAGACCCTCTGACAGTACACTGACCTTGTTAGCCAATTCTCTGTATTTTCTCTGAAGCCTTTCATACCGCTGTGCCGAATTAACCGTGAGAAGAAGACTGAAAAGGACGACTATTCCAGACAGCATCGTGGCAGTGAGTGC